CTTTCTGCTCTTCCTCGTTGTTCGAAGGCTGCTGCGTTCGCCCGTTGAGCAAGTTAAGTGAAGTTTTGAAGCAGAAAACAAACGTACAATTAACACATACATGCAATTGCAATAAAATTTTAACAAATTAAAATAATAAAATAACAAAAATAAATAATAATAAATAAAATAATAATAATAATTAAAAAAAATATGTATAGTGAAAGACATTTAAGAAGGCTGAAGCAGCAGCAGAAAGAAAAATACAGAAACAAATTGTATTGTGCTGCGATGTCAGAAAATACTCCAGAAAGGGGAGAAAACAAAAAAAATAATGAAAATGAAGTTAAAGTTGATGATGTTTTAAATGTGACAAACATAAATAATAAAAACGAAAAAAAAAAAGAAATTAATACAAAAAAAAAAAACAATAAACGAACAGCTTAAGTTGTGGTTCCGTAAGCATAGGCCGACGCGTGACTGCGCGATTAACTTAATTAAAATATTGAAAAGCCATTTAATTCTACAAATATAGTTCGCAAAAAAAAGCAGAAATAACACGTATTGATGGAGGTCTTTATTTACACATAGGCATAAGAAATCAAATTAATAAACTTTTGATCTCAACTTATTGTAATGACAACAAATTAATTATTGACATGAATATTGACGGCATTCCTCTGTTTAAAAGTTCCAATTCACAACTTTGGCCCATATTAATAAAATTGACAAACATTCCAAATTTACCGGTACTTGCTGCTGGAATATATTTGAGGAAATCAAAGCCCTATAATTGTGATGAATTTTTAAGCCAATTTACTTGCGAGTTAAAGGATTTGATGGAAAATGGAATTGATATAGACGAAAAGCACTTTGAAGTACAACTTAGGGCCATTGTTTGTGATGCTCCAGCTAGGGCTTACGTCAGTGGGACTCCTGGACATACATCATCGCATGGATGTTCGAAATGTACACAAGTTGGTAAAAAAAATAAATGGTGTATTAACATACAAGACAGAAAGCGGTGAATTAATAACAGACGAGGACTTCAAAAATAGAAAATCTTCCGATCACCACTCGAAGCACTATTTGACAAAAATTACGCCCTTTGAAACTCTAAATGTTAAAATGGTTACTCAAATTCCATTAGATTGTATGCATTTAATCGATTTAGGAGTCATGCGTAAATTTCTTAACAGATTAATATATAACAAGACTTGTAATAAATTAATGAAAGAAAAAAAATTAATATATCGCAAAAATTAATTGACTTACGCAAAAAAATGCCAAGAGAATTTGTAAGAAAGCCTAGATCCCTAAATGAACTGTCAAACTAGAAAGCGACAGAATTTAGGCAATTTAGGCTATACACAGGAATATCCGTACTAAAAAATGAACTATCTGACGACCAGTACTATGAGTTTAAGCTACTGCATTGCGCGTATAGAATGTTGTGCTGCCCATTACACAGAAAATCAAATTTGGGAACCATTCAGCGCATGTTGCAGCTCTTTGTGGAAAATTTTCCAATTATATTTGGTGAAAATAGCGTATCATATAACGTCCATAGTTTACTCCATTTACAGCAAACGGTGGAGCAGGTGGGCGATCCAGTAAACGGTTCCGCATATGCTTTCGAGAATTATTTAAAACATATTACAAATTACGTTCGAAAGCCAACCAAAATTTTACAGCAAATACACAGGAGAATAGACGAAGAGCAGTTTTCACCAGACTTACCAAAATCGGACTCCGTCAAGATTAATAAATATATCATTTTTAAAGGTAGCAAATTAATGCAAAAGGAACCTAATAATTATTGTTATCTTGAAGGAGATATTCCTGTAGTAATAGTATCAGTAATGGAAGACTCTGTCGAACAGTTTAGAGCGAGGCGATTTATGAACCTCAGAAACTTTTATACTCAGCCTTTCAACTCCTGTGACATAAGTATTTACCTAGCAGATGCAGAGCCTTCACCATCTGAAGAAATTTTGAGGCGGATGGACTTTTCTAATAACCGTAAGTGCTTAAATTGAGCTAATTACTTTGAATAAATAGAAACAAATTAAGTAATTCGTCACGTTGTAAGTGTGTCACGATATTTTATTTAAAATGATCTATTAAATTTATTTACTTGTTTTTCAGCCGAAACGAAAGTGGTTCAGGAAAAACTGGATATTCTTGTAGAATAAATGCATTCGTTAAGAGGTATAAGTATGATTAAATGAGCTTTTAGTTAAATATTCATACCTATATATATTCAATTTAAATATATTAAAATTTAGCTGACCAAAAAGTAAAACAGGAAAAAATCGAGCTTTATGTTAGTATAAACACAGTTTCAATTGTTTCTTAAATCCTAATTCATACTTTGTTTACAGATTGATGCGATTAGGATCCATATTATGGCTGGGGGGATTTTAAAAAACCTTAAAAATATTATGGCTAATCCGGTTGTGTTAGCCTACAATGTTAATGGCGTTCAAGGCAAAGCTGCCTTGAAAGAAGAGAGCGCTTTCTATGACGTATTAATTGGTAAGTATTATTTAATTCATTGCCGATTTAATTACAAAATTTAATCTTCACATTTGTTCCCTAGATGCAATAAATCTGGTTGATGGCAGTGGTTCGGCCGAAGAACAACTTAGGAAGGCCATGCAGCTGCAGAAAAAGCGCTTTTTTTAAAATACAAGCGTCAAAAAAAAACAAACTGAAAATGAAATAATATAAATTGTTATAACATAGAAAAATATAATATAGAAAAAACTGTATTTTGAAAAAAAAAAAATTATAAATATTTAAAATTTTTTTCATTCTTTTACCACCCTTTCATTCATATCACCACCCCTGGCATTGGTACTCACATCACCACCCCTGGCATGGGTACTCACATCACCACCCCTGGCATATGGGTACCTATGTAACTAGCCCTTTTATGGTGACCCAATTCACTAGTTCGCGGTAAACGATGTGGTGGCGATTGACCCTTTTTGCGGACATTTCATACAAAAAACGAAATGATGAAATGCATTGCTTAGGGTCAGCAAAGTAAGTAGTGGTGGTACCCTAGTAAGTAGTGATTTCACCAGCTACGAACCACTTACCAGTACTAGAGGGAAACTAACAATTTTAGTAATGGTGACTGAAGAGACACACTGCACTCATTAATCACATCAGATGATTTCAACGTCCTAATGGCTGCAGCCAGATATGTAGCAGTGACCTTAGGAGCGGTAATGGACCCATATTCAGGAAGTGAATATGGATATGAGTTGTTATAGGGATCAGTAGAAGAATAAGAAAGAATAAGAAATAGATCAGAAGAATCATGGTCATTACAAGTTTTTTCAGCGCCAAGGACAAATGTAAACGGCACACCAGAAGACTTGCGCTTTAAGTTTACAAATGAGTAAAATTGTTTAGGATCTCGGGCAAACTGACGTTTGCAACTTATAAGATAATTCTCATAACATCGAGTATTTAAAAGATTGAAATTAGACTTGGCTATGGAATACTTAGACCAGTCGACATTAAAAACATTTACATTTAATATTTCTTAAATTCTAAAGAGGGATGCACACATCCAGAATAGAGTTTAAGGTTGTATAAAAAAGCGATACTACCAAATTAATATCAACCGACTCATATAAAAGGGACCAGTCTGTTGAGTTAATTAAATCGTTGAGCAAAACAAAATCGCATTTCTAATAACAACGACTTGGTTTAGAAGGCAAAGGAGTATAATTGAGATGATTATCAACA